CGTCGATCAAGAACAACGGTCTTTGGAACGTCATGGAGCGCTTCGATCTGGTCCAGAATATGCGCGCGGGAAACGACGCGGACTTTGCGTCTTGGTTGCTTCAGCTCGGCAACGGCCAACTGCCCGCGGTCGACGGCGTTCCGGACACCGTGCAAATCCCGCAGGAAATGGTGTGCGACGTCGCCGATTTAATCGATTTCGTGTATCCGCAGCAAATGTCGTTGGCCAACATCGACGAATTTGCTCGGAGAGTCGTCGTGTGTCTCACCAACGAAGAGTGCAGAGGTATCAACGCGGACGTGCTGGAGCGCGTCGACGGCAATTCGGAGACCTACCAGGCCGTCGACACCGCGGAGGTGGACGCGGCCGACGAAGTGGCCAATTTCCCCACAGAGTTCCTCAACACTTTGGTACCGGACGGCCTGCCGCCGTTCCGGCTCGAGTTGAAGGTGGGGTGCATCTTCATGTTGCTCAGAAATCTCGATCCGAGGAGACGACTGTGCAACGGTACGAGGTTGGTGGTCACCGAACTGCGACGTCACAATTTCAAGGCGAGGATTTTGGGCGGTGACCCACAGGACGACGACATCGTCCTGCCCAAGATACCGCTCACGTCCAGCGGTGAGGACGACCTGCCCATTCCCATGCGGCGCACTCAATTCCCGGTGAGGTTGTCGTTCGCCATGACCATCAACAAGTCGCAGGGTCAGACGTTCGACAGGGTAGGTTTGCTTCTGACGACGCCCCCGTTCACTGGCAGCTGTACGTGGCGTTTTCGAGGGTGAGAAACGCACAGCCCGTGAAAGTCGGCATCGACATACGATCTATTCGTCACCAAGAACATCGTGAACAGAGAAGTTCTGTAATGCAATAAGTGGTAAGTATATTCTAGGTGACGTCCGGTGATGGTGATAGTCGGTTGACTTTAAACCTGACACGTGTAACATATTTTTCAAACATAATACGTTACACCGCTGTTATACTGGTCTGTGTACTACATGCACCCGATGATAGTCTGGTTGACTTTAAACCTAACATGTGTAACAGTTTTTTCAAACTTAATACGTTACACCGCTGTTCTACGTGGTCTCCGTGGAGGTATTATGTGATACCTAACATGTGTAACATATTTTTAAAACATAATACGTTACACCGCTGTTATACTGGTCTGTGTACTACATGCGCCCGATGATAGTCTGGTTGACTTTAAACCTAACATGTGTAACAGTTTTTTCAAACTTAATACGTTACACCGCTGTTCTACGTGGTCTCCGTGGAGATAGGTACTTCATGATGACCTTGCCTTCGGGCTAAACGGAGAGAAAGTTTGACAACCTCCTCGTGGTTCTCTCTGGATGATGTGAATCATATAGTGAATCTATAATGTGAAGCCGTAACTAATCGTCGCCTCAGAATGAAAAGGTTCTAAATCAATTTTTTTGAAAAATGGTTTTTTTGCATATAATCATTTATAATTTTTTGTTGTATAATTCAATCTTGAAATCGGATCGATCCGTTGATTATTCAATGAGATACAGAGAATGAAAAGGTTCTAACTCATAAAAACGTGAATGATAAGCGCGAAACCTAGAAATATCAGTTACAACCTTTTCACTCTAAACAATAATTAAGAATGAAATAGTTCTAAACGGTCTTAAATGTAATATCTCAGAATGAAAAGGTACCGTTATAATACGGTTATACACTTATACCACTGGTACAATATAAATTATTATTGTGCCATAATAAAATATTATTCCAGCATTCCAGCATAAATTTACCGTCTATTTTTGTTTTGTTGAGGTGATAAGGTAGGTAATACCTACCCAGATAGCATTTTCGTAATGATAATATCTAATTATTATCATATCTTCATTATAAAAATAATATTATCAAATAAATATCAATACAATTTCAAATAATTATTTTGTAACATAATATTATAAAAAATTGAATAATATGACATCATAAACGAAATGATAAATTGATAATCTGAATTAATTGTCATTATGTTATTAAAAACGAATTATCTAAAATATATTTTGGATATTATAATATTATGATATTAAAACAGAAATAATAATATTTTAGTCTGAAAATGTGTTTAATATATTATCAAAACCGAAATACCTAAATTATATTTTGAAATTATTAATATTATGATATCATAATTGAAATAATAAACTACAATTCTTAAAATATGATTATTTTGCTATAAAAAATAAAATGTCTAAATCATATTCTGAATTTGTTAATATTATGGTATAATAATTGAAATAATAAAATATTATTCTGAACATATAATTTTTATGTAATTATAAAACAAAAATAATTATAATATAAAATATGATTTTTAATTGTACCTGAATTATATATAATATAGGTAGGTACATGCGTGTATTGAATTGTAAACTATTGAGAAAACAAAAACTGTTTTATATCTTTTTAATTGTAAACTGCCCACTGTGTTTTTGTGTTTATGTAAAGTACTAAAGTATAATAATTGTCCACATTGTCCATTCAAATAGGGCATTGTAATTAGTCAGGGGCTCAGGGCATTATAATTTATAAACATATATATATATATATTGACAGTAATAATATTTAGGTAATTTAGCTACAATAACTATTTTTTTAAAACCCAAACCCCCCTCTGGGCTCTGGCTACTTCACTGTGTGTCTGTAAGTAGGTTGTAAGTACCTACAGAGAAAAGTTGGGAATATTGATAAATCATTATTTGAATACAAAATATATATAGGTGTGATGGTCAAATTGTAGGAGCGTACAGCGAGTTATATATGTATTTGTGTATATTCTATTATTTAATATAATATATATAAGTATTATAATTTAGATTTGTAAAACTAGTTGGTATTGACTATTTTTTTTTATATTACGAAAATTACTATTATATACAATATTAATATAGAACTATATAATATAATAAGAGACGAAAAATTGTATTATTGTATACTGCGTGTATAAGTGATCCCTCACTATTCACTAACGTTTATAAAATGAGACAATGAGTTCTACCTTCTACAATAACAACTTGGTATCGCATTGTCGCGCAGTGTCGTGCAGAGTAGACAGGATGGACGAAGGTGAGATTAAATTACGCAGTCAGTGTTTAAAAGAAATATAAGCATGTTTTTATTAAGTGATTAAAAATAAAAATGTGTGGATAGAAGTCCAGGGTTTGCGCTAAGAATATTTTAGAACTGCACAAGTAGATAGGTACCTGAACTTGGCTTGTATACACATTTTGGCAGTGGTGGTTCTGGTAGTATTTTTTCGGTGAGGCAACCTATGTATCACCCCCCCCCCCCCCCCCATACAAAATTAGAATTCACAATAAATGTAATTTAAAAACATAAAAATAATTATAATTGTATGAATGCTAATAATATACTTGTTTCGTATAGTAAATAATAAAGTAAGTGATAGATAGGTAATAAACAGAGCATTTTAAAATTTGGTAGTTCTGAAAAGGACCTTTTGAGTAGGCCAACAAAACATTTTTTGTATATAATGACTCCCACATAACCAAGAGTGTTGTTGATATAAATTTGGATTAAATGACCTACAGAATACCTTACTTAGATTCTTGTCAGGAGCCAAAGCTTACAAAATCGGAATAGGCTTACCCACTTTTAGCAAATCATTTTTATTATCAGAATGCCATCGTCGAAACGGGGTCTCCAACAACATAACTACCACGTCTGTCACTGGATACGTCATAACTCCAACAGTAATTAATTTAATAATGTTTATTACAAAAAACTGCAGCGTTATTTTAACGTAGACGTTAAGACGAACCAGAACCACCGAAAAAGTGTAAGACACAACTACAAAAGCGACTATTCGTACAAGACGTCAAGACAGAAATTGAGAAATGACTAATGACAAATATAAAATTATTATCAATAGATATTACAACGGACAATGGTTAATTAGGAGTATTAGGACTGTCCCGAGTCTCGATTGTAACAATAACATCTTTACTGATAAGTGATAATGTGTTTTTACGTTGAAATGCCGGCTGATATTCCTGTATACCGAGTCTATTTTTAGTACATAAGGCGATGTTAGTCGAGCCTCACAATGATCATTGCGCATGCGCAACTCTAGTTATTTAATAGTCGAGTGCATTCGCGTACATACGCTTGTGTGTGTAATTCATGTACACAATAGTACATACTCTGAGGCGGAGTTGAACGGTGCCTTCTGACGTCATCGGAACATTGCCGCCGGTTGAAACACCAGCGTTTGTTTACGTAATAATTATTTCATACATTTCTTATCGGTTTATCACTATTTTTGGTAATAAATACTTAATGATAATATGATTTACCATTTACAATATAATAAATGATAATTCATTTTGTTAAACTTGGCAAAGAAGATTTTTTTCTCAAATAAAATCATAAAAACGTTAAAAATTATTATCGAAATATGTACCTATATGCTATCGGTGGGCCAAAAATTATACTTTAATAGTATTTTTTACTTAAAATTGTAGGTTAGGCGGCGCCTCACTTGCCTCACCCCCAAAACCGCCACTGCATTTTGGCATGAGAGAATACCATGCTCAAATTTTTTACAACATGAATATAAAGATAAATATACCTAGTTAAATTAAATATACCTTACACTACAATGTAATCTAGCTCTGGAACAAAATATTTACCTATAAACATTTTTATATTTCAAACAAAATTCAAAAATGTTAAAATCAATAAAATATATTCAAACGTTTTAAACTAGGTAACTAATATTAATGAAAAAATAAATAAAAATTAACAAAACATATTTATTAATATCAAATATCTTATAATATGCTTCAAATGACAATTTTATTTTTTTATTTTTAACATCATCATGATCATCATCTGAACCTAAATTATCATAGATATATTTATCATCTGCTTCCTTAAATAGTCCATTAAAATAATTTTGTTTTTTCCCCTTTATTCTCATAATAACTCTGTGTTTTTTTTTAGTTAACCAAATCTTTTGGATTCCAATCATATAATGGTGGCATGTTATAATTAATGAATAAATACATATTTTCTGTTTCTAACGACATTCTTGAACGCATTGGAGATTTTAATAAATTGCTTGCACTAATCAAACGCTCTACGTCAGCACTGTATGGTTTAGCTGCTAATATTCTGGCTAATAAAATAGTTATATTTTTAAAGTGTATTGTTGATGTAGACAAATTTGAGACTATTTGATTTAAATGCATTTTTCGAAGTTCATAAATATTACTTATATTCAATAGTTCATCATACTATTCATACTCTAGTGATAAATCCCGTCACAGTTCTTTGCTATTCCTGAACAATTTGATAAAAGTGACTTACGAGGTTTTGCTGTGTAGCCAACGATGTCCTAATGTCTCGATAATATAATTTGATTATTATGAATTATTATAACTTTAATACAAATCGTTTTGGTCTATATTATACTATTATCTATAGTATATTAGTTATTGTTTTACAATGCTAAAATAGGTAGGTAGCAATAAGTACTGCACAATTAGCGTTTTAGAACTGCACAATTTGTGTTGTAATTGCACATTAGCGCAAACCCTGGATAGAACGATAAGTATCTGCCCGAGAAATGAGTTACTAAATTATTGGGAGTGACTTCGATCCGGCGGCGATGTTAATATAAGGAGCAGGCGTCCAGCTAGGCTTAATATAATAATAAATAATTTAATAATATTATACATTATATAATAATATTATATATTATTATAATAGCATATAGAACATGTTCTATGATTATATAGTATTGTTATGGACGCGAACTTGGCGATTCCACACAAATAAAATAAAACGAGTTTAAATTACTTTGGCTCAAAATAATATTCTTTATTTAATTGTAATAACGTTTAATTATATGAAATGCTCTGAAATAGTCTGTAATGGTCTGTTGTGACACCAACACTCTACTGCCTGCTACGTGTGCGAGCCCCGCATACGAGCTGGTCGTCCGTTCAAAAAGGGTTTATTCAGCAGATTCCTTAGACCAGTTGTATGGAGAAGGGAGTCCTGCTCGCCTGTGTCACACACGTATCAGTTTACAATATGATTAAACATAAATTTACATTTATACTACAAGGACTATAGAATAATATTACTAACAGTATTCAGGGGTTCTTAACACCCCTACCCTTAAATGGAACATGGGGGCTTAATAGTCCCTATTTTCCTTTACATAAATTAACTTAAATGTTCAATTATTTTCTGAGAGCTCGGTTTCTGCAAGATCCGGCTTGTACATTTTCGTATTATTCTTTCTAACTTTGAATATAATGAAAATATTTAATACAATGAGACAACTAATAAATATATATAATAATACTATATGTACATCTATCATTATACAACTTGGAGGTTCTGAGGGTAGTTTCTCTAAAGTATTCAATTCTTGTAAGCTGTGTGTGAATTCAGTGAGATCTTTTATGATCTGTACATTGATAATACTTTGGGGTATTAGTGAATTTAACAATTTTGTAAAAGAGTGTTTGACATTAAATTTAGAATTTTCAGGAACTAAATCAGCATAAGTGTTTGCTCTTATGTGATTAGAGGGTAGTAATAATGTTTTTTCCGTGTGTATGTTACATGCTGTGATAATAGTCAATCGACCTACACCATAAATCTCAAGAGTAAATGTTCTGGCTGGATTTTCGCAGTATATTGTTATTATATCAGATTGTGTGTAGAATAACCAAGAATTTGACTGAGGGAGTAGGTTCCACACAGATGCATTTGTTGTCACAAATTTTATATTGCAAGTATCGGGGAAGTTCTGTGGTTTTAACATGAGCGAAATTTCGCATATGCTTGACTTAGATTTATGATGGACCGGTTGACTATTTTTACAAAGTGTATATGATTGTACCTCCCTGCACATTTCCCATTGCTTATTTGTCAACGAGAAAAACTTTTGCGTATCATAACTAGTTGCTATAATCTCCATACTAGGGTCAATTAAGATAAAGCTCTGGCTGTCATATATAATAGGTAACGGAATTACTTTATAGGCATTGAAGTCAATGGTTTGTACTAGTGGAATTTTTATTACAAATATAAGGTATTGACCTTTATGACCAATTGTTATTTCAGAAATTTTTATGAAATCGGAAATAGATTCTGTTTTAATCTCAAGTGGGAAAGTCGTCCCTATTGGGATGTTTGCTTTAATTTCACGAAGTTCTGTTAACCAACGCTGGGTGTGCAATACACTGGTGTGTAATTTCCCATGTAAGGCAGAATCAATTATTGCCAAAAGATTTTGTGTCTCATATGCGTATTGATTCAGTAGGACTTCGAAGAAAAGAGTCTGTTCTAATAGCGTTGTTCTGATCTTTATTTGATCAATGTCCTTTGCGTTTTTCTTGGCTTGTTCGCTTAGTAGCTGAATGTTCTGTTCAAGTTTTTGCTGGTTTGTTAATATCTGGTTTAATGTGTTATTATGTTCATTGGTTGTCAATTCAATGATTCGAGTTTGCTCCGATGATAAATTGATATCTTTTACTTTATTTTTCACTAATTGAGTTATTTTGTTGAAGATTAATCCGAAATCAATGTTCTCAACATTACCGAATAGTACGTTGGCCACCCGACTAACGGCATTGCTAAGTCCACGACGGGTTCTACTTTTAGACTGATCATTGTTTCCTATAGTTGATAAAATATTTTGGTGAATTTGATCAATTTCATGGAGGTATGGAACTGTTGCTTGCGCAAACTGTCGGCTTTTCTGGGTTTTCAATTTTCTGACGTATTTCACTACAGAGTTGAGATGTAGTATTATAAAATCTGGATAACGCTAGGTATTTCGTTGTGTAATATTCTAGATTAAGGAAATTTATTAGCTTCCAGTCGGAGTCTGTTACTTTTAGTTTGCCTAGGAATTTGTAATAAAGTCCTTCCGTGTTGTTGAAATATGTTATTGCGGCTACATCCGTGGGTGGAAAATTCTGACATTCCGTCATCTTTATTTGTACGACTATTGAGGTGACAAGCAGGTACCCAATGAATATTGTTGAATTGTTCATTTTCAATTTTCTGTAAAACAGTGATGGATTATCATTAGTATCATTCATAGAATGGTTTTAATAGGTTTGGATGAACCTTTTGCCTTTTTGCCTTTTTCTCTATTGTTACGTTTTTATTGATAGGGTCAACTTCTAAAACTTCAAAAGGGCCTAACCATTTTGGAGTTAATTTATTGATTGAGGTTTTGTCTTGTAACAGAACCTTCTGTCCTGCCTCAAAGATTCTGTTATTGGCATTTTTGTCATATTGAACTTTTGATTTGTGTTTGGCTTCAATCAAATGTTTTTTAGCTATTGCATGTGATTCTTGCAATTGCTTCTTGATTTCAAACTGGTAATCTTCATAGTTATATCGAGGTTCTGCTTCTTTTAATAAGGATGAGGGAATTGCAACTGGAGTCCCATATACCTATTCGTAAGGTTGATATTTAGTTGCTGAATGAACTGTAGAATTGTGACAGAACATTGCATATGGAATTTTCACATCCCAATTCAATGGATCCTTGTCAATAAAATTTCGGAGATATTCTCCCAGAGTACGGTGACTTCTCTCCAGAGAACCATTACTCTGAGGGTAGTACGGGGTTGTTGAAGTCTGCTTTATCTTAAGAAGGTAACAGACTTCCTTGAAAACTTTGCTTAGAAACTCTGTACCACAATCGGTTACAAGGCTCTGTGGTAGACCATGCAAACACACGAACTGAGTTACAAAGTGATGTGCTACAGTATTAGCTTCGTGGTTTTCCATTGGAGCTGCCCATGCGAATTTCGTTAAGTCGTCGAGTAGCGTTAGGACAAAAGAATTCCCTTTATGGGATCTTGGTAAAGGTCCCACTACATCCAAAAATATCTTCTCGAATGGTCGGCTAGAAGTAGTTGTGATCATCATACGCTCTTTAAATGGTTTATTCCCTATTTTGTTTTTTTGACATATAGGACATTTCTTAATAAAATTTCGGATTTGTTTTCTCATCCCCTTCCAGTTACACTGGGCATATATTCTGTTAAAAGTCCTAGTTACTCCTTGATGACCTCCTAGTGGTGTATCATGGAATTCGGATATTAATTGGAGTTTATCATCTTCGGATAATTCCTCCTTAGTATAGACGCTGACATAGATTGTAGTATTTTTAAAAATGTAACGAAGCATTTTGCGGATTTCCTCCCATTTGAGTCCATCCAGTCCACATCCTATTCTAGGACAAGCGAGTTTGGTGATTTGCTTTTCCTCACAAAGTAACTTAAGTCTTTGTAAACAATTGAATATTGACTGATAGGTTGGTTTCTGCCAACTATGTAACTTCGTTATTAAGTAGAAAATTGTTCGGTCCTCTACACGTAAAAATATAACATCCTCAAGTGATTTCTCTTGTTGGCGTAGTTGTTGTATTTGTCCAAATCTTCGCCTAAATTGGAGGGCTATGCCTCTAGACATTTTGAGATCTGTGGAAACACAGTGCGCCAGAGAAGTGTCGGATGATGTACTAAAGATGTCGCCTGCTATCTCAGTAACATTAGACGTAGGTGAGTCATTTGAATTTAAAAATATCTGATACGATTCTGTTTTATTTGATGATTCTAAAGTGTCTGAAGATTCTGAAATCCTGGAAAATTCTGTAGTGTCTGTTGATTTTGGACTCTCTGTAGATTCTGTAGTATTTGTAGGTTTCGAAATTTCTGTAGATTCTGTATTCTCTGAAGATTTCGGGATTTGTTCGTTTCTCAATGTTTGTGCTCTGGTTGTGACTCTGATTCTGCTCAATGCATCGGCATTTGTATTGTTGCATCCTGGCTTATATTGAATCTGATACTGGTATTCTTCCAGCTTAAGCCTCCATCGGGTTAATCGTGATCCAGGATCCTTGACATTGAAAAGCCAAGTAAATGCTCGGTGATCAGTGATAATGTTGAACTCCTGGCCCAGTAAATAGGGTCGAAATTGTTTAACTCCCCAGATTATGGCGCACAATTCCTTTTCTGTTGTGCTATAATTTTGCTCTGCCTTATTTAATGTTCGTGAGGCATATTCGAACGGGAGATCTTTTCCAATTGGGCCTTGTGATAACACACATCCTCTTGCGTAATTACTAGCGTCACATGTGAGGTTGAATGTTTGGTTAAAATCGGGGTATTGCAACAGAGGTTCATTGGTGAGGACATTTTTTAAATCTTCA